GGGACACATAAACTTGGGTGGCGACTCTGAATCAACAGATGAATCCCTAGAAGCAATAATGACTGACTCAGAAGAAAATGTACCGTTAAATGAGTCTGAACCATATGAGGTTGCCCAGGTGCAGTTGAGAAGTGGCAAGGTACTGCAGCCTCAACCAAAGAAAGGGGCTCCTAACAAAGATAAGGGAAAAGAGATAATTATCAATGATGACATTATCCCTGAAGATCCCAAGAAAAAGAATAATTCGGCCACCGGGGTAGATTATAATGTCTTATACCATCTGAGGAAAATACCTGCACAACTTAGCATATATGATGCCTTAGTAATGTCTAAAGACCTCAGGGAGACTTTGATTCAAGCTCTCAAAGATCCCGAAAGATACGAGGCATATTTTGCTGAACGTAATTTGACTGAGGTTCTACAAGCTCGTAATGAGCCGTTCATTATCTTCTCCGAAGAAGACATAATGCTTGGGACTGCAGATCATAACCGTCCTTTGTATGTTACATCAGAAAGTGATGGGATGATGATTAGTCGAATCTTGATCGATCCAGGGTCATCTATAAATCTAATAAGCTTGAAAGCACTAAGATCACTATGCCTCGATGTGGAACATCTTGGGTCAGATAAACTAATGGTGCATGACTTTAATGAGAAGGGGAAGAAGACCTAGGATCATTTACACTCTTCCTCACATTTGGAGAGCTTCATACAGATGCCAAATTCCATGTGATTGATGCAGATATTGCCTTTAAAGCACTCCTTGGCCTCCCTTGGCTGCATGAGTACGGCATCGTGCCGCCAACACTACATCAATGCATGAAGTACCTCAGGGATGGAGAGGAATTTAGAATCTCTGATGACATTCAACCATTTGCAGTCCATGAAGAGAAGATATATGAAGATGCAAAATACTTCATTCCAAAGAAGTTGAAGCCATCAAACTCTCTTGAGGTACAGGCATCAGAACCAGAGACTGCAAAGCAACCTAAACCAGAAACCAAGAAGACGCAGGTGGGAAGAAAGAAGGCAACGCTGACTCTTCCCAAGGTATCAACCATCCCGAAAGAAAGAAAATACATACCTCATTTAAGGAGTGACACAAATGAAAGTGATGCCTGTTGAGTCTAGTAAATAGGTTGTTAAACCTAAGTTAATGTCCCAAGGCTACCAAGAGGGGGGGGGGGGTGAATTGGTAGTTTAAAAATTTTAAGCACTCTTTTAAAATGAGGTTTGCAAGGAGTTTTGCTTGAATGCAAATAACAAGATTTGAGCTTGGACTGAATAATATCATATGAGACTTGAACTCAAACAAATGACAGAAGACTCGAATCAAATTCAACCAAGAAGAATTTGAATTCTAATAGAAAATGAGTTTCATTCAAACCACAAGAAACATGCCACAAGCCACTAAGCAGTGAATTGGATCTCAAAATGATAAATGCAATTATGACTTACAAGATAGTGAATTCCTAATCAAGTGAAAATGAATGAGTTTGGGAATTGCATTTTGGATAAGAAACTTCAAACATAACTTCCTTACAAACAACGCTTACTCACAAGCAAATGTATCGATGTCTTATGGAATGTATGAAAGCCATGGCATGGTAAATGAGGCTAATTATCAGATGACCTGTAAAGAATGTAGCAGGTCTATGAATAATGAACTGTTGTATGATGTGTTTATTAGCAGGGCATAAAAGTAGTGGTTAACAAAGAGTGAAGATGAAATCATAAACTTGTCATAATATTGTTCACCTTCATCCTAATATATGCAAGAGGATTGTGAGAGATGCAATGCACAAGTATGCGACACTCCTACAGTCAAGGAAGATTGATGTGTGGGCAAGCATATCGACCCCTTGCAAAGCAACTAGGAGAGACTTATTGGTGTTCAGGAACAACAGTAAAATGCAAGTGTAAATGCTTACAAGTGGTATCAGAAGATCTGCAATACATACTATCTCTCTACGGATATAGATGTATGTACAACGTGCTATCTTTGGGTAGATACATAAAGACTTCAGTAAATGCAGTATCCTGAAGTCAATTTTAGCTTATGAATGAATACATCTACCTGCCTATGTGCAACAATATCGGATGTACTGAAAGGATCAAAGACCACGAACAAGTGTCAAAGGGTTACAACAAATGCAAGCTCCTACAAATCACAGTAAGAAATTTATTGTGCACAAAGTATACTACCTGTGAGCAAATGTTGAAAAGACTACGACAAAGACGGACTTCTACAAGCCATCATAAAAAACCCGTCAAATGTCTAAAATACCCCCGCACAAGTGCACCATAGTTTATATACACATAGGTATACTAAAAGGGGTAAAAGCAATCATAGAACCCGCATGGGCCCCGGCAAGCATATTATTGGTACACACGTGACGTATAGGGATGCTGTGCGGGTTACTAAATTTGAACCCGATTATCCAAAACAAATAAAAAGGAGTAGACAGGGTATAATTATAAAATGACCTCAAACACCCTCATGGGCCCCGACGAGCGTGTTGTGGGAACACAAGTGACATCTAGGAATGCTGGGCGAGTTAATAAATGAATTCAAGTTCAAACCCGATCCTTCTATACGGATCAATAGAAGTTGACAGAGTTTGAACAATCAAACAAATATACGATGATGGTGATCAATATATTTGTTTTAATACATTCATATTAGGCCTTGAAGGTTTATAACAATATGAATTCACTAACAATGACATAAAGCCTACGAAACCTGATCCCCTATCGTCAAGATGATAGGGTTGACAGGGTTCAATCAATAAAGAGAAAATAACCCCAAACACCCCGATGATGGCCGTGTTGAACGAAAATCTCAACCGGAGGGGTCCATTCCAAACATTTCAAATGCCTTTCAAACTCCACGAAAATACCTATATAATCAAAATTCCAGAAATCCCAGATATTTAAAATGAAATTTAACTATCTATCATATAAAGCAAAATTCATCCACCCTCCGCAACACCTTGCCGAGGTGGACAAGTTAAAATTAACTTCAGCTCACATAGAGTCAATGCCTAATTGAAAATATCACTAGGATCCATTCTCAAATAAACTCCTGCCAGTAAGGACATGGTACGTGTCCTCTAACCGGCAGCTTCGCCGTCAAATGGCATTGCTGGTAAACAGTTATGACCCGGGGCCCTCTGAACCGAGTGATTTTGTTGCCAAATGGCATCACAGACAGCGGTTATGGCCAGAGCCAATACGCTCCTTATTGGCATTAAATCCTTGAAATATGAATTAATAGGATATGATCGATAGGGCACAAAGCCCTTTGTTAGCTAAGGTGGATTCAAATTTGTCCCCTTAGATAAATATCCACCCTAGGTCTACAAGATCCCCTTGGACGAAGCAACCCATGGTTGCCGACAAGGATCCTTCTATCAGGTTGGGTCGACTACCTCTTCTGACTAAGTAGACCAGTGACCACGATGGCCCGGGACGACGGAACCATGGGATCTTGATCGGGTCCATCATCCATTTCCCCACCATCCTTTTTAAGTGAAAGATGGTGCAATTTTCAATTTTAAATATCAAATCTTCAAAATCTCCAAATTTCCAAACCTATGCTGTTATTATATGCCAGATAACACGTATCTATACGTATCTGATTAACGACTAGCCTTAATCGAAAGTTCTCTCTCATGATCAGGAGGGGTAATTAACTATAGGGGCTTGCGCCTATAGGAAACCAGAACTCAGATCTTAAAGTCCTCACAAAATGAGGGCGAAATCTCTGGGTAGTGTCTTATCTACAAACCCATCTGCCTTCCAAAATTTACCTCATAACTTATCAGTTAAAACTCCCTCGTCGAATAAAAAGAAAAGCGATGGGGAGGCCGGGGCCGAATTTTAGGAGCCCACACAATGCAGGTAAATGGTTATTATCGGGGCCATCTGAACAAGGTGGTTTGCCGCCAAATGACACCACTAAATTATGGTCATGGCTAGAGCCCGTATGCTCCCCAATGACATTAAATTCTTGAGATATTAATCAATAGGATATAATCAATACGGCACAAAGCCCTTTGTTAGCTAAGGTGGATTCAAATTATTCATCTTAGACAAATACTCACCCCATGTCTACAAAATTCCCTTGGATGAAGCAACCTATAGCTGCTGATCAGGATCCTTCTATCAGGTTGGGTCAACTACCTCCTATGACTAAGTAGACCGGGGACCATAATGTCTTGGGACGACAGAACCATGAGATCTTGATCAGGTCTATCATTCATTCCCCCACCATCTGCTTTTAGTACAAGATGGTGAAATTTTTAAATTTCTTTTTTTTTTTTATAAAATGACCTCAAAACATGTTATAGTTTTCTTTCATTGATTCTAAGTTTATTTGAATGCTATTTACACCTATTGAGTTGTGACTCACCCATGTTGTGGGACACTTTTTAGGAGGATCTGGTAAAGGATAGATGATGGATATACCTCCCATCACGTATTGTCGTAGGGAGACGACGGGCATCAGGTTTTGTTTTGTTATTTTGATGTTTTGATTAGAAGGATTAGAGATGGAATGTAAGGAATTGATTTTTGGGCACCTTTCACCTTTTTGTAAATTTTATGTTAAATTCTTATGTTGAGGTGTTGAAAGTAAGAAATGAAAAATTTTACTTGAATATTCTTTAGTGGCTTTTTCATTATGCTTTGAAGATGTCCTTTTATTCATAAATGTGAAGTTTTTATTAATTCCTACTATCCGACCTTCGTTCCCGCCTCGCACTTGCGAGCTAACCGGGCTGGGTCATGACATGTATCCTTTAAGCCCTTTTTTTTTTGTTTCCTTTTGGATTTATTGGTAGAGGTCAACATTATCAAAATTAGAACATAAGATGCAATCTTCACACTCACTGTTGATAGAATTACCACGTTAGTTAGCTTAATGATCATACACTTTGTGCGCTTGATCTACTCGTTACCTCATTTCTGACGCGTATTCTTTTCATCTATCTTTTCTCTCTCTTTTTTTTAATCCTCTTTATGCACATATTCCATCAATCAGATGGAAAAGGATGTTGGAAGAAAATAACCCTATCAAGCAACATATAATTTGTAACGACTAAAATGTTTTCTTTTTGCCGTTATTAGGCTATGCTTTAATTCTAATTCAGGCTAAATGACAGGTATTGAGTCAAACCAGATTGAATGGTGAAGCCTCGGCTCATTCTTTTGTTGATATTGAGGTGCTTTATGTCCCCATTCCCATTCTTAATTCTTTGTATTTATTGTATAATATACTTTTATGACTTTATTCTGTTAATTATTTTATTACCGTATCATTTATGAAACATTCTATTACTGTAAGCTGTCAAGTTAGTGCTTTGTTTCTTTCCTTCACTATAGCTGAACAACTATTCAGCACTGATTTTTATGTATGCTTTTGTTCTACCTAAGGTAATTGTGTTTATAGGATGCTGTCTTATCCAACTATATTCTATTTATTCTTAATCATGAGATTATGCCATAACCTAATTATTATGATGTTATCCCTATGGGGCATTTCTTGCAGATACAAAGCATGTTTAAAAACATGATCATTTAGTTTTTAATCATTTTGTGCATGAAAATAGAATAATTCTATTTTTAGAATGTAAGGCCAATGCTAATTTATATTTACATTCTACGAAATGATAGAGTTAGCCATTTTTTACATTTTTTCGGAAACATATTTTCTAAATTATAGCAATTGAATAAGCCCAAAGTGAAACTGCAAGCATTAATTGCTTATTATTATTTCTTTACTGATTTCCAAAATCATCATCATATTGCAGACGTGGTGTCATTGAAGGATTACGTACATTACACTTGTAATTAATTGTAATCGTTTTAGATAATATATTTTTTGGTCAGTGTTACTCTGTTAGATCTATCTACAGTTGTGAGAATTTTAAGAATGATGAAGCCTTTTTTTTTTTTTGTGGTTTAGGGTTTTGGTCACTACTTACTCCATCCTCAGGCATGCCTTCAGCCTCTTGAAGAAATGGTTGGACATCTGCTGAAGTCAAACCCACAGGTGGCCAATGAGCTGCTCGAACACAAGGGCTTCGCCATTGTGCCCATGGATTCTGCCTACGCTATTCTTCAGACTAGCTTGAACCCTTGCTCCAATTCCTGCCAGTGATGATCAAATTTTACCTACAATAAGATTTTTTTTTAGGCCATTTCATTGCCTTATACATCGTAGTTTTCGACTTTTACTGGTTCGCTTGAGCTGCATGCTTGATGTTAACGTAGCTATGGTTTTCCTTCGCACTTGATGCTCTTTCAATGAAATATTCGGTTTAGATATAAGGAACAGTATTGTTTTCGAGTAAAAGTTTTTTTTCCTTTGCTTACGTGCAACCCTGCCTTATGGCCCAACAGCACCCATGCATGCATCTTACTGATTGACCTGCATAATTTATTTCTAGAAGCAATCAGGTTTTTTACTATGAATTTTTTACTTAATGCTGATTCGCTACTTAGCTATATGCTATTTATGGTTAGTAGAATAAGACGGAATTAAAATATTAGCTATATATATATATATATATATATGCTATTTATGGTAAGTAGAATAAGACGGAGGAGCCTTTTCTACTGGTAATAACATTTCTGTCTGTTCTGTGTGAAAGTTGCTTGCTTTCTATTGCTAACGATCTTGCAATTTTTTAATGCGTAGTGTGAGATTGCATAAATAGTGGTGAATTAAGAGACCAATGGAGTAACTCGTTCTCCCTGCTCATTCTGATATTGCGTTTGTTTAAAATATTTTGTTTATTTTCATATTATTGTGGATGAGTAAAGGCTTTGAAATGCCATTGCCATTCATGAAATTAGTCAATTTTAGGTTTTTGTATTTTTTTTTTTTAATTAGGGAGAGTTCTAATTTAGCTGCTTGGATTAGAATCCATAAAAAACTAAAATTCATTCCGGATGAAATAAGGGAAATATTTGTCTTAAATTAGAGATGTTCAATCTGATTTTCTATGACATGTATGCTTTCGGCAAAATTTTTTCACTTGACCGGTTATGCATTTTGAATGTGTCAATATTTAGGGAATAATTATTGAATTTTAAAGATTTAATTTTATTTTATTTTTTTAATGTATGGCTTAAATTATTTGATTTATATCTTAATTTGTTCTCTCTTTAGGAACTATATTATTATTGCCCAGGCTGTTAAAAATGTGAGAAGAAAAAATAATAATTAATTTTGATCATGATTGTCAGGTCAATTGCACCAGTTAGTCTTTTGACATTAGAACGTAAGGTGATCATACTATTAATATATGGCTGAAATAAAAGAGTTATTCTTTCTAATTCAACAAGAATATCATAATCCTTTAAGTGGTGTTGTAATTTTGCAACTTCAAACATACTAACATAGGTTAGGAATTCACTTTAATTAAAGGTGTTAAAATATAATGACCTATAAAGAATGGTTGACTCTCAATAGATATTGAGAAATCATTTGGGATTTTTTTTATATTATTTTGTTTTATAAATTGCATCTACAGTTTCTATTTGGTTACTATTTTTTAATATTTAAAAAAAAAATTGTGCTAGAAAGTTGATTTTGTTTTATAAATTGCATCTACAGTTTCTATTTGGTTACTATTTTTTAATATTTTTTAAAAAAATTGTGCTAGAAAGTTGATTTTTACAATAGGTTTCAGAAAAATTAATTTTCTAAATGACAATTTTATAACTATCTTAATAAAAAGTTATTGCCCGTGCATCAAGTCAAGGCATTTCTAAGTGATTTATAACCATTGCCTAGATAACTATTCTTTGTGAAAATAATAGCCCTTTGTAATGAGAGGGTCATGTTTATATCAGAGAGATCAAGATCTTTTAATGTGTCTATTTGAATATTAATGATTTATATTTGCTATTTAAAGCTTATTGATATTAATGTTTATTCTAAATATTATTTAATATTGTGAAAATTAATAGAGATAAAATTATTTGTTTATATATTATAAATATAATTATGTATATTATTTATTAATTTTGAATTATTATTATATTAAGATGAAATTATAAAATTCTAAAGATATGCATATAGTATATGTGCATTATTATTATTTATTTAATTATAGTAACCTGCACTACTAAGTTGCTCTGCCCGGCCGCCAAAGTAAGGAAAAGGAAATAACGCACGTGTTATACTAAATTTTAAAAAGTTTCCGTTATCGCGATACATACCGCACACAGCAGCGAAGCCACAACGAAGCTCAAGCGAACTTCTCCCAACGGTCTGTTTCATTTTCTTCTTGCTCTGCTCCGCCGCTGCAGTAAGGAAAAGGAAATCGCCATGGGACGAGCAAAGCTTAAGCTCATTTATCAAGAGAACTTTTGCACTCGGCTCAGAACTTACACGACGAGGATGAAAGGGTTAAAGAAGAAGGCTAACGAGCTCTCGGTCCTCTGCGGCGTTGATGTTCTTATGGCTTCGTTTTCCCCAGAACTGAACAGCTTGGAGCTCTGGCCGGAGGACACAACGGAATTCAACCGGATCAGGGAACGTTCCCTCAGCTTTAGGATGAAGAAGAGCTGCAGTTGCGATCATGAAGGAAATGGCATCACAGAACAGCAAATCTCGCTGAGAATGACGCCTTCTTCGCTTTCTTTGTCTTCGTTCCATGAAGAGAAAGCAGCCATGGAAATCAAATTACAAGAGGTGCGCGAGAGGCTAGAGTTCCTCCAACGTCAACGTCAAGAGGAAGCAGAGCGACTTCAGGCGCAGTACGAGGCTTCCAAGGCTTTGCAACAGATCCAGGATCTTCACCGTCGCCAACAATCTTTTTCATTTCCCGGATGTCTTCCTCCTCATATTACTGCTGATTTCGAGATTCCACTGCAACCGGAACTTTTCCCTCATAAAAAACTTTCTCCTTTTGCCCAATTTCTTCCTCTTCATGTACAACCGGAACTTTTTCCTCGGCATGATTTCAATAATCCTTTGCAGCAGGATTTTCATCCACACGAGCAAGCTTCACTATTTTTCCATTCTCTTACTCCTCATGAGCAACCTCTGCTAGTTCCCCTATTTCTTCCTCCTCATGAACAACCCCTTTCAATTTCCCTATCACTTTCTGATCAGGAACAACCGTCTCCACTTTCCAAATCTACTCCCCCTCATCCTGATGCTGATTTCAATAGAGAGGATGCACCAATTTCCCTGCTGCCTTTTGACTCCCCTTTGTGGAGCAACTATGAGTGCTTGAGTTGGTGTGACAGCCTTCTTCTGGATTATGAGACCGAATTATGAATTCAGCTTCTACAGCTTTGCTGATGTCCTTATTTTTTCTTTTTTCTTATTGTATGCAAATCTATTGTATAAACTGAATGCTTTAGGTTCTATAAACTGAAGACAATAAGTAATAAATCTTTGATGATTTAGTGTAAATGTTGGTTCTATTAGAATGTAACATACTGATTCAATGCAACTTTTATGATTTTTTCTTCTATAGTCAATTGAAGGATATAATTATGGGTTGTCATCCAATATGTTAAACAAAATGTGATGAACATTGACAACCACAAATACTTTATTTTTTCCAGTTTGGTGCAAAAATTAGGCTTGAGGTGTTAGACTACATGCTTGATTTCTTTCCTTACCTTTTGGGTTAGATTTAGAAAGGGATTAGAGATGAAGATTGGTTGTCAATGTTACTGAAAGTTTGCAATTATCAATGACTTCATTGATGTTCCACTTGACATCCCAAGTAATCTTCATAGTTCATACTTTCATGATAAATGTGTCATACTACATAGACAATTTTATAAAGGACGCATTTGATTTTGAAAATATGTGATTGGATTATCTATAAAGGGGTATCGATATCCCGAAAGTTTGATTGTTTGATCAAAATGCATATTATTGTAGGATAAGGGTGAATTTGAATTTTATAGTTGATTGGATAAGTTTATTTTTTAATTTTAATTCATATTAGGATTATTCTAGTTGGAATAGTTCTTTAGTTTTAATTTAGATAGTTTGTTATTGTAGATAAGTGTTATGTGAAATTTGTTTAGGAGTGGATTAAGTTTTATCCTTGCTAAAATTTCCTAGTTACTGCAACAAATCTATTCCCAAAGCTTTATTTTTGTCCTTTCTGAATGCCTTATTAATAAATTTAATTAGAAATCTCTTCCCAACAACTTTTTACTGCAACAAAAAATGCTATTGATGGAATTCAACTTTCTTCGGAAAAAAAATTGAATACAAAGACGCTATCACACGACACTTTAGCATGCAAATGGTGCGCGCTAACCTGTACATGCGTAGCCTGTCAGAGAATCACTAGTGGCTGGCCTGTTCAATAGCTAAGTTGCATTCGGGCATAATTTTAGATTTAGAGAGTTCGTTCGATCATTTTTGGAGTCCCCAAGACTATGTTTTAACTTTATGGACTCAATTTTGTTACTTCTAGAGCCCAACGAAGCCTTTACAACCAATTTTAGTCATTTTAAAAATTTTAGATATAAATTCTCCATTATTTCTTGCTCCAATCAATGTCATGATTTAATTAATGCTAAAATTATGATTAAGGACATTTTACTTGGTTCAAGGACCCAAGAGGGGTCCACATTGACTTTCATGGAGCATTTTACCTCATAATTATGTATAAATTATAGTTTTACATTCCAACATATGAAGGATTCATATATATATATATATATATATATTCAGACTCCTTAAGCTTTGACATCTAAAAATAGGGAGGCAACTAATACATCAACAAAAATCACTATCATCGACCATGAATCTTGTGGCATATTCTAGTTGGAACTCTATAAAATTAAATGCGAGGCCATATGAACTCCAATTTTAGCAAAACTTATAGTCAATTTTAACGTTTCAATGAGATGAACCCAACAACATCAAAATCGGTCCCATTCGAGCCCAAATAATATCCGATCGAGGGCTTAAAGTATATTTAAAAGCACCAAAAAAATAATTGGATGAACAAATGATATCTAAATATGACACGTTTATAGTTTAGTTGATGGGCTCTACAAGATAAATCCAATGAGCCTAAAATTGACAAATTCTGATATCATTAAGGCACATAAATGTTGAATAAATACTCCATGATTGAGAAAATATGTATGGACCGCCCGTAGAGCAATCTAAATTTATCCATGATCTTTTCCATATTTATGAATAATGCTTCTCTTAAAATTAATGAATAGATCCCCTCTTCCCACAAGATGAGGGGGCTTAGACTTTCAGAGGCTTAGGCCCATGGGCTAGAGACTCAAGAGAGCTCTGAGGCTTGAAGCATTATGGAGCTCCACCCCGACACCATTATCAATGAACCCTTA